CTCGGTATTCTTGAGGTGTGCGGGTACATAGACAAGTAGTTTATTCAATGATCTAGCTAGAAATTTCGATAGTCTAGTGGCTGGGGTGTCGGTAGCTGCATGAATAGGACGACCTTTTAACTCTCCTTCTTTGTGATCCTTAGGTAAGCAATATACTGGACAGGGCAATGGTTCATAAAGAACATGTACGCTTGCAAACAGTATATACGCATCTAGCAACGCACAATAAAAGACCTATACTTGGAGATATTTCTTGGGAGATCTTGCACCCTAACATTAATTTGCCCTATGTCCAAAGAATAATAGAAGCGTTAGAGATTAAGAAATATAAAGTTAATATCATGAACGGATGTGTAGGAAGAATATTAACAATTGACTGAAGTTTACTGCTAATGGTTTACTTATAATTATATAGTAATATTCTATATAACTGTATTCACGTATTTATGTATATGTATATGTGGGTGTGGATATGTGTAAATATCCACACCCACGTATTACACATATACATATACATGATATGTTCGCCTACAACTTTACTAAGATTTACATACAGATGTGTAAGACAAGTCAATGCATAATCATTCGACCGTAACAGGCCTTTGTCTTATATACGTTGCTTTGTAATATACGATGTTAGTCCACTGATGAAGCCCTAACCGGCGAAACGTTTGGAATAAACCAGTAACAACAATTTATGCCTTTGAAGTCTTTTTTTCTTGTTCATATTTACCAAGGCATGGCATCAACATTGTATTCATATATACATATATATATATATATATATTACCGATTGCTAAATATTTTAATCAAAAGCGCCATGATATTAACTGTATGAAATTCATTTTAGTTGCTAGCGGGTTTAAAACCCTCAGTGAAAGGCGTTGTGCTGAGCTGAGATGGATACTTAACTTAAAACACATAAGTCAGTTGCTAATAAAGACCATGGATTCATATCTGACTTCACTTTCGCTAATAAATAAATATATATTTGTGTCCATCCGATATATTTTTATCCATCTAGTCTATTTATCTCTTCTATTTCACAGTTTTTTGTTTTGTTTTTTTTTGGTTTTTTTTTTATACTCACTTTATTTATTCGTTTTATTTTCCCTTATTCATCATTCATATTTTTATATCATATATTATATATTTCTTCATGCCTTTTTTGATAGTTATGTGTCCACTTGAAATTTTGTTTGACATTATTATATTATTATCATCATCATATTTTTGTTGTTTATAGGCCTATTTCCTTGTTTACCATTCATTAGTTTTGCCACTCTGACCTGTTATTTATGCCAATTTGCTTATGTCAGACTTAAGGCCTCCTTATAAACTATTGCTAGTGATAAGACTGTGTAACCTATTGTTTATAGGTCTGGTGATTAATCACCCATTGTATATTCTTATGTATTCTGTTAAGTTTCTCATTGATACTCATACGCTGACGAAGGTAACAGGAGTTGCCGAAAATTTCGCAAATAAAATATTTCTATGTCTCCTACAAGTCAAAGTATCGTAGCAGATTATTTTGTCTGCCTCTACCTACTGATTTATATATATGTACATATATATACATATATACATATAATTATATGTATTTATACATATATATATATATACATTTATACATATTATAGGCCTAGTATATATATATAGTGTATATATATATATATATAATCATATATATATATATATATAGACATATATATTATGGTAATAATCATAATCATATATGGCAATTCCATATAACTAGCTCTATTACACGTTTTTGTACAGGTCGGTTATTATTATATTAATATGTATGCTAAAAAGCTAAAACAATGGAAAATGGCAGCCATTTTAAATTGTAATAGCTCAAAAATGTGTACAATATTTAGTTAACTGTTGTTGTCATTGTTATGAGTGGATTTCCAATTGAATACTGCATTTTAATGACATAAATTTACAAGATTAGTGACAATTTTAGGAAAATATGGCGGCCATTTTGAAACTGCTGACAACCCCCCTTACGTATGAAAAAAAAAATGTTGCACATACTTTTTGATTTATCTATGTTTACTCTACATCATATCCAATTATTAAAAAATATAGCAAAAAAAATGCAACCAACCAAACTTTGCTGGACTATACCCTGCTTACAACTATAAAGAACGCCTTATTTATCCTAATTTACTTCCTCTTTCCTTACGAAGGGATTTAATTGATCTTTCGTTTTCTTACTAATAAGAGTACGTTTTGTATAAATATTTAACATAAAAATAACGCTAAAAAAAAAGATCCACGTTTCGACTCCTTCATGGTGTCATGTTTCTTTGGCTATTATGACTCGGATTTTAATATTTTTTTCTTTCGTTTTTAATGAATCCCTTACCCCTTTACATTCTCTTCGTCATTCTGACCAACTCAAACTCGTTCAAAAACGTTGCAAAACGTATTGTTGCTATGTGAAACCAACTCCCTCACACCATACGATCAAACTCGACAATATCTGGTTTTAAGCGAGCCTTACGCATAATTTATGAACTTCTGTTTATCAAAGAATTTGACCCTGCCAGCACTTGCACTTTGGTTACTAAATGTTTTTGTCATTTATCTAGAACTGTGTAACTTTTTCCTTTTTTTCCGACTTATATTACTATGTATTTGCTGTTGGGATTTGTGCATTTGGAGACTTGTCGTGTTGGAGGTGCTTGCACCTGTTGGTACGCTCCTGTCTCTTATACACATCTAGATGTGTATAAGAGACAGGCATTCGCACGTCCTTCAGGCGACAGTGGATTTTCCACTTTTGTGACTCCTGAGCCGTCATGCCAAATGAATAAAATAAATAAAATAAATGTATGGGTAGAGCACGTTCAAGCAGCAATAACCAGGGATACTCTCCAGCAGAAAAAGTTGCACAATGTGCAGATCTGCCAATTCAGTATCCAGTAACCAAGGAAATAATGATGGCAGCGCCTTGTATAATCACTTATATAGCGCCACTATAATCACTGCTACATTCATCATGAGATACTCGTACGCTGATGAAGGTAGCAGGTGCTACCGAAAATTTTGTACTAATACATTTCAATGTCTCAATTAAGTCAAAGTTTCTTGCAGTACTTTCATGTCTGTATGTATGTATAACCGAGGCAACAGCGTCAATTGCATCAATTTCATTGATAATTCTGATCACTATGTATTTTATATATATATATATATATATATATCAAAGCCTTCATATGCAATAATTCACTATGAATAAAGTATCTAATTATATATGCTATATAAATATTTCTACGTATGTACATTATATTATGTTCCTTGATTTCTGAATTGTATTTAATAGTCATCATATCATGCATTATATAATTTAAACATATAATTTTAGAACTACTATAATATTCCTACATCAATTTTCCATTCCACAATTGTTTAAATTATATAGGACCTTATATAAATCTCACTGTATTTTATTTCTTCTTTAATTATTGTATACTGTTTTTTAGTCACTAGCAATTAAGTCTTAGTATTAAAGCTGGCTCAAAAGCACCACCAATAATCTATCGCTTACATAATCAATGTATATCAATCAATGTATATATATATATATATATATATATATATATATATATATATAAAGACAAATGCGATCTTCATAACAATAATAATTTCATACAATTAGTATTGCGATGAGCGATGAGGTTATTTTGATACGAACAGAGTATGTCATTAATTAATATTCAATTTCTGATTGAAGAAACTTGCGATATTGACTGCTTGAATGGCGGAGTTTGTGTATCGGCTTACGGAATCGAGAACTGTCAGTGTATGTCTGGTTTTGTTGGACCAACTTGCAATATGTGTAAGTTTTTACAGCGATAAAGAATGTAGATACGTATTGAGCTAAATATAATAATAAATCTAGTTTGCAGAACATGGTTAAAATTTGTACAACATGATCAGTTTCTGAAAAGATTGTAAATATTATGCATAAATCTAGGCTTCTAGAATGAGTACTGAAAAATTAATGTCAACATCAGTACTAAGTTTAAGTTTGGAACTGAAAATAGATTTATCTCTTCTTCATCTATTATTTATTTAACTAATAATCCCAGCAAAGATCAAGGCTTAACCGATTCTAACTGGAGTACATATTAACACAGATCTCCGGATTCCGGTGATGGAATAACCCCATACTTCGGTTTGGGTGCTAGCTATGTGTTTATTGATTTTTTTTTTCTTGTGTTTTTCTTGTGTTTTTTTTTTTTTTTTTTTTTTTTTTTCATTGTTTCTTGTCCTTGTTGAGCGCATAGAGACCTCGTTTATTTGCACTATAGAAATGTATTATTATAATTATTATTATTGTTATTATTATTATTAATATTATTATTAATATGATTATTATTATTATTATTATTATTATTATTATTATTAAACGAAAAATAGTATAGAGACAACATTCGAAAAGGGGATTTATTTATATTTATATATTTTTTACATAAGTAATCTTGCATTATTGAATGACTGTTTCTTGTCCTTGTTGAGCGCATAGAGACCTCGTTTATTTGCACTATAGAAATGTATTATTATAATTATTATTATTGTTATTATTATTATTAATATTATTATTATTAATATGATTATTATTATTATTATTATTATTATTATTATTATTAAACGAAAAATAGTATAGAGACAACATTCGAAAAGGGGATTTATTATCTAACCATTTTAACTTTACATAAGTAATCTTGCATTATTGAATGACATGGTTCATTTACATTAACATCTTTGGCTATGTGCTGTAAAAAATGGTAAAATAATAATATTATTGTAGACAGAAAAGAACGTATTTCAAGCAAATTGGAATTAAAAATAAAATGTAATTGAAATTGTAAATCTTTCAGGTATTTACTGTAGGTGTCGTCTTTAGTTCAAACGAGAAATTGCATGAACCAATAATACAATTTTTAGGAAGCTAATTAAGTAATGTTATATTTAAAGTTTCAAAACAAAAATATTTTTGGTAATATACCAGTAACATTGTGGAACAATGTGTTGTGGATACGGGTTTGACTTTATGCCAGTGAAATTTGGAATGTGTTTTTTTATTATTATTGAAAAAGCTTCTACCGAATTCTGCAAATTTATGGTAAGATGTTTTCCTAACAAAGTTACGAGTTATTGTACTTTGGTTTCCAGTACAGTAACTCTTTTAACCAATGCAATTACAATCGGTTAATTAATTAATTTGTCTTGGGATTTTTGTTTCAGCACAAAACCAATGTGATTTCGAAGATCCATACATCTGTTACTTTGTACAAGATAAATATGATGATTTTGATTGGATAAGAAGAGCTGGATCAACACCTTCATTTCGTACTGGTCCTGAGTATGACCACACATACGGAACATCACAAGGTAATAAAACAGCTGACAAGAATTATTTATATTCTAAATGGAATTGTAAATTTATTACTAAATTAATTAATTATTAAATTAAATACTAATTATTTAATTAGTAGATCTGGGAAATATGTTAAGTTTTCTTACTGCATGAATGGCTTGAGACTTGGCAGGGCTAGTGTAATTAGGGACCTTGGAGTCGACATCTCGACAGATCTCAAATGGGACAATCATGTCAGCAGGGCGGTTAAGAAATTTAATCGAAAGCTCGGCCTAATTAAGCGTGCGATTTGTTTTAACGCACCAGTGTATGTCACTAAACCACTTTTTACATCTCTTATCCGTAGTGACCTAGAATATGCGAGCTCTGTATGGAGCGGTTCAACAAAAACTAACCTTATGCTCATCGAAGGAGTGCAGCGCCGAGCTTTCGCTTTTATTCTTAACTACCCTGCTTACAACTATAGAGAACGCCTTATTTATCTTAATTTACTTCCTCTTTCCTTTCGAAGGGACTTAATTGATCTTTCGTTTTTTTTTGTTTTTGTTTTTTTCTTTTTTAATGTTTCTTTGGCTATTATGACTTGAATTTTAATATTTTTTTCTTTCGTTTTTAATGAATCCCTTGCCTCTTTACATTCTCTTCGTAATTCTGACCATCTCAAACTCGTTGAAAAACGTTGCAAAACTGAAACTTACAGAAGATTTTACTTCAATCATATTGTTGCTATGTGGAACCAGCTCCCTACCACCATAGGTTCAAACTCGACAATATCTGGCTTTAAGCGAGCCTTACGCATAATTTATGAGCTTCTGTTTGTCAACGAATTTGACCATGCCAGCACTTGCATTTGGGTTACTAAATGTTTTTGTCATTTATCTAGAACTGTGTAACTTTTTTTTTTTTTTTTTTTCGACTTATATTACTATGTATTTGCTGTTGGGATTTGTGCATTTGGAGACGTGTCGTGTTAGAGGTGTTGG